GGTTGGTTGTTGTTTTGGGTTTGGTTTTTTTTTCCACCAGATAGATATATATATATGTGTATATATATATAAAACTAGAGCTTGACAGAGCGTGGGGAAAATGTTGACTTAGGGCTGGAAAAGGGAAGCACGGAATATATGCCAGCAAAGCAGGTTATTTATCAGCAAACTGAGGGTGTGAGGGGCTGCCTGCACCCTGCCCACCATGGGCTCTGCCTGGGGGCATCGGGCTCACTGCCGGTGTTTAACAGTGGGATGATGCTTCTGCTGCACCAGGGTTGGTGCTCAGGCCGGAGCAGTTGTGTGTTCAGGGCGAGAATGGCTCAGAAGCTGGTGGGAATAAGCGATGCAGTCTGTTAGCTTGCTCTAGAAATGTACCAGTAATCCGTGGTTACATTATTAATGTAGTATTAAAAGAACTTGGGGCCTCTGAGCAAATTCCTGTTTCAAATAAATAATTACTGGAGCCAAGATAATTTATTAAATTAAATTGAAAAGCCCAGGCACACTCTGTGTTTGCCTTCAGGTGATTCTGGTTTTTTAACTACCATATCCAAATATCCACTGTTACTCGCATCACCATTCCCAGGGGCTGCAGACGGGCTGGAATAAAAAAAAAGTACCACGTTGCTGGGTGAGATCCAGGATGGGCATGGGATGTGGGACAGCATGGAAAGCTTTCCTCTGGAAGAGGTGTCCTCATGGCAGCGTGGACGAGGCTTTGTTGTATGTTGTGGTTGGCTGTTTACGAGCGAGGCCATTTCAATCAGTTGGTAATTTTCATAAAGCACTTTGATGCAGCGAATCCCCAGCCTGGTGCAGGACAGGGCTCCGCTGCAGCTCACAAGTGCCACCCGCTTTGGTGGGTTTTATCTCCTCTTTGCCGAGGTGTGTGACAAATTTGTACTAAATCAGAACCTCAAACGATGCTGGCGCGTAGAAACGGGGATGCTACTGCAGGAAACAGATAAAAATCCTTCACACAGCACCATGGCTTCAGAAGCAGAATAAACAACATTTAAAAATGGATAAACACAGATGGCAGATTTCCCTAAAAAGAAAGTGTTTTGAGAAAAATAAAAGGCTCTTGAAAAGGAATAAAATATGAAAAGGAGGAGAAGTGGGTCAGGAAGGAGCCGTCAAAGGAAGGGGGGAAACTAACAAAACGGAAATCAAAGACAAAGCGGATCCCGGCGGTGCGTGGCTCCAGGCAGCTTCCTGCTGGGTGAAGTGTGTGTCCTTGGTCTCATCCAGCTTGGTTCTGGTGGGCAGAGAGCCGGCAGCACCACGGGGATGCACCTAGGGGCACCTACACAGGCACTGGCTGTGGCCAATAACCCCTCGCAGTGTGTGGGGATGAGGAGGGCTGGAGGCAGCTGGAGATGCCCCTTGGAGCTGCCCAGCCAGAGGGGTCCAAGCCCGCCTGCAGGTACCAGTGTGCAGGAACTGAAGGAACCACATTTAAACTTCCCACTTCCCCAGCATCAGCAGAAGAAGAGAGGGACGTTTCAAAGACTCATTTATTTGCACCATTAACCATTTTAATGGCCTCTCTCCAATAACAACCATTCCAATGGTTAGAAGAGCAGGTGTTCAAGTAATAAGAGTGATTGAGAAGCCTTGGATGGTCATTATTATTAATACCCATAATAAAAGCAAACGAGGGAGACATACACCTCGTGTGCTCTTTGATACCCTTTTGGTTTGTAGCCGGGCAGCACTTTCCCTTGGGCAGCTAGTGGCAGGTTGGTGGTAGCAGTGGCCAGTGGTGCGCTGCAGCAGGGAGAGGGGGGTCTCCTCCAACAAAAGCCTCCCTAAAAGCAGTGTGGGGCTACGAGCTTTTCTGTCCACTGTGTTGATAGCTAAAACTGACTCTGTTTAGGAGGGGCAGGATGTTTTTAATGGCCAAGCCTGTGAGCTGACTTGGGGATTTGCAAGACTTGCTCATTGCTGGCAATGAGGAGTCTTTTAGGCAGCAGTTTTGGTGATGTGAGAGGCTGTGTTGATACCGATAACAGGAGAGAAAACCTGCCTATGTCCCACCGGGGACAGATCACAGCCTGCGCAGCACTTCACAGCCTGTTATTGTGTATGTAGGAATGTAGGTACTAACCTATGTAGGAACATCTCTCCGAAAATACTGAGCACACAAAAAGCTTCAGTGGGCACATAAATACTCCCATTAAACGTATGTGCCCCCTCGGGTGCTTCACATGAAGCTTGCGCAGTGTTCAGAGAGCTTTTAGCCTGTTCACTCACACTGCAGAGGGAGCAATGGCAATACCAGGCACGGCGAGGGAACTGGAAAGGTGAAAAAAGAGGAAATGTTGGTGCAGGTGGGGTTTGCTGAATGTCCTTCAGCAATTAACAGTGAGAAGGGACGTCCAGCCATGTTGTGACCTGCTCTCTAACGGTGCTCGTGGAGATGCTGCCCATGCTTTCATCCACGGAGGAGGAAAACCCCTTACTGTCCTTAGCAAAGAGCTCAGTGTTTGCCCAGCCCTGCAGCACCTCCGTAAAAGCCACGCTGCCGAAGCCATTACCAGGGCAGGGAACACGGGGGATAAGCAGACACAGAATGAGGCAATCGTGCGGGTTTGTCCAACAGTCGCTCACCCATTTCATTTTTCCAGCTCGTGCTATGGATTTCTGGGCCATCCCAGCTACACACACATCCATCTGCTCTGCTGTGACCTGTGTGTGGCTGCTCAACATGTTGCAGTTTCTGTTACTGAACGGACTGTTTTAAGAACACTTCCATTTTAGCTCCAGTGCTCTGAGGAGCGCTGCTGAATGGAGCACACTACCTGCAGCAGAGACTCCCAGCCCCTCTCCCCATGTACTTCACCCGAAGGCCTGTGTCGTTTAAGACCCACGAACACAGCAGGCACACGAGCCCTTCATGTGTAACGAAAATCACCTCCCAGAGCGTTTTCTTTTGCCAACCTACCAGAGGACAGTGCACCCAGTTACAACGAGCACAAAAACAAGGCTGCACAAATACACCATCATTCAACAGAACTCTATTTTAATTGTGTCGGGAAAGACCGCATCTAAAACGGGGTGCAGAGGAGGATCAAGCCACGTGCTTTACCGAGGACACACAGACAAGGGCACTGCTGAGGCTCGCACGCATCGACTCCATCCTCCAACAGAATAGCAGAGGTAACTCAGGCTTTCACCTGCATGTTAACAGCTGATAAGAAATAAGGTAAGGAAAAGGTGCAGCTTCTCAAGAGGCTGGCAAACAGAAAAGAACCGGGAGATGCTTCTAAGCATGTGCTACGGGCTGCAGGGCAAGGTGAGCGATCAACTGGCGCTCCTCTCGCTTTCCCCGTTCTCTATCAGCTTCCTTTTCTTTTCATCCGTTTTCCTCTTGAAGATGCTATCTCTGTAGAACTGAAGTTCTTTGATGCTTTCCCTGATGTCATCCAGTGCTCTGAAAGAGAATTGAGAAGGGTCATCTACAGCTACAGACCCAGCTCTGACAGGCGGGGATCGCACCTCCACTGGAAATCGAAACAGCCCTCGCAGTCTCGGCTACATGGAGAGCAATAAAGGTCCAGCAGCACTGACAGGAACACTCGGCTTATTAGTTTATGGCACCGTGGGACATGGAAGCTCCCAAAAGCCAACAGGTTCTACAGCTTCTGCTATTAAAAGCAATTCAATCTGAGACAAGAGACAGGGGCCCTGGAGACCTGCTCCAGCTCCTGCTTTGTCCTGCTCCACCTGCTTAGAGAGGTCCACACAAAGCAGTGACCTCGCTGTGCAGCACAGACACGCACCCACCGCTTCAATGGAGACCACTGCGACAGTCCTTCCTCCTCTCCTTGTGCCAGATGCCCCTTGCCTGCCCAGCATCACCATGCCGGAGCACAGTGGCAAAGGTTCCGTGACTCCTTCCCACTGCCCCTTAGGACAGCCAAAGCTCCAAGTACCAAACAGCACCCTGACACGTTATGAACTCCTGAGGCTCTGTTTTAATAATCCCTTTCCCTCCACTAACCAGGCTTCAGACAGGAGAATGCCTGGAACTCAAAGGAAGCTCTACATGCTGCTCATAAAGAGCATGGTCCTTGCACGGCTCCAGGACAGACAGAAGCAGCAACCTCACCTGTGAGAAGCCGCCTTCTTTGGTGCAAACTCGTATTCTTCTGGATACCAGCGTCTGTAAGTGGGGAAAAAGGGAAATGGGGTTCAAAAACATGTCCTGTCGCTGCTGTGGGCTTGTTACCGCTGGCGAGGGAATTCATCCTTCGCTGGCATCAGAGAAGCCACAACCCTGCAAGTCAACGTGCTGCAAACCCCAGCACGCACCACTCAGAGCAGCTTACCCTGTGCCCCCACCAGAGGAGAACAGACAAGAGGAGGCTGCCAGCAGCCCTCCTGCCCCTGCAGCCTTAACCTCATCTGAGAAGAGCACCGTTAGCACCGTGTAACAGGCTTCCCCAGATCATCCCTCACAGGATAGGTTCTTGCAGGGAACACTGACCTGCAAAGTTCTTTGACAGTGCTCACGTCGATGATCCGGTAATGAAGATGCCTCATGAACTGTGGCATGTATTTGTCAAGAAATTTCTTATCTGCGTGAACAGAGTTACCTACAGAGACACAAAACAAGATGTTACCTCAACCACATTACAAAGCTCCTGCAAATGACACCTAAGGAGAACGGCTGAGCGAGCTGATGAGGGGTAAGACAAGCTATTCCCAAGCAGCTTGTTCAGCCCTTTTTCTAGCAAATACGATTGCAAAGGTTTGTCAGATTTTCCTTGTGGGATCAGGCATGGTGTAAATACTTAATCCCTCTATAATCCTTCAGTTTGCTCCTACCATTTCTGTCACACAGGTAAGTATCCAAGTATTTACCTGTGTTACAAGTATTTACACAAGAATCAAGTTTTCTGCTAAGGGAAAATGGGCCCTGGTATTAATTTCACTTAACGCCAGTCCCAAGACTGTATGTGAATGCCTGGAATGTTGTGGCAGGACATTGGGAAGATCCGTATTTGATGTTTGGTTCCATGCACAGTGAGGAGGAGACTCCTTTGGGATTGCTGCTGGGATTCCATGGTCAGAGATGGCAGAAATGTTGAATGCACAGAAGAACCAGAGCCTCCCGCAGCAGGGACGTGGAAGAGCCGCTTTAGGGGGTCTGCACTACGGGTGATGCCCTGACTGAGCCCCTCCTTAGCGAGCAGGGTTTGATGTGCCCGCGCAGACACCAGCGCACCCCAGCACGGGCACCAGCGCCGCTGCCACGGTGGGCAAGACAGAGCGCACGTACCTGCGAGGGGACAGACGCCCGGGGGGGTCTGCTGCCGCACGAAGGACAGGAACTCGTACTCCGCCTGCTGCAGGGAAATCTTACTCTCCTTCACAGCCTTAGTAAGGCCAGACTGCAAGAAAGAGCCAGGAGTCATCAACCATGAGCACACACCGAGATGCTCCCAGACAGTAAAACTCAACACGCGTCAAGGCGGCTGCAGCACAGGCCTCACGACACTGGCACTCCTGGGGATTGGGGGTTCTCTGTTCCTGGGTGCTGTGATTTCTGGGGGTGCTTCTCAATTACCGAGACATTACACAGGCCTCGTGTACGGGGTGATCCAGGAGAGTGTTCTGCTTCTCCCTGTTTCAGGAGCAGCACTCATCCGCCCCAGCACAGCACAGCGGTATAAACCAACAGAAAGAATCAGGATCCTGCTCAAGTGTTTACCAAGAGTCCTATAAATCAGAAACGTTCCCTCCCCCTTTTCCCACCAGTTAAATGTCAAACCTGCTGCACGCGTTCGCAGTGATTTATCTCCATCTGGCTGCGCTATATATTTCCACGTCCGCACCGCAAAACTCTACTTGACAGATCCAAGTGGTGGTTAAAAAATTCATTATGTGGCTGCATTTTCATCTATATTCTAATTGCTTCTCTTTTCTTAGGCAATTAAAAGTAAGTAGCTCCTGAGGAGCAGCGGCAGCATGTGCTGCTGTCTCCAGCCCTCTCCTGAAGCGCAGCCGAGCTCGAGTCCTCCGCTGGGGAAGGGGAAACGCGCCCAGCACGGTAAATTAATATTCCTTTTCCAAACTCTTGCTAATCCTTCCTGGGGAGAGCGAGATGCCAAAGGGAGGGGGGCTTACAGCATCTTCAAACTTCAGCCTTAATTGAAAAGTAACCTGAATTTCAATTCACAATCAGGGATTGGAAAATCCATTCAGTTTCTTGCTGCTGGCAAGGAGGAGGCTTTCCTCGGTGGCTGAAAGAACCAGAACTAATCCCTTGCTGCAAAAGTTCAGCTTTCAGCGAAAGAGGAACAGTAGGGTCACAGTGCTGAGGGGACAGGCAGAAATAACAACCCCTCTTTGCAGCAGATCGGCCTCTTTAATCCTGCAGGTACCTGAATCTGCACTGAGGAATTTGCATTCTCTTGGCTCTGGACTAGTCTACACCCGTCCTCTGCCTGCCCTCACCTGGGAGGACTTCAAGCAACACCCTTCTGCTTCCCCACTGGAATTGTTTTGCATTATTCTGTGCAGCGCAGAACAGGCTTCACCCCGAGGAGCTGCCAGAGGCACCCACTGCCCCAGCCCAGCCCGGGGATCCCAACCTCGCTGCGGGAGGCACGAGGCCGAGCCGCTCCTGTGAAGACGGGAAGCAGCAGCACAATCCCA